AAAAAAAAAAAAAAAAAAGAAGTCGGTGGCTAGAGTGAAGGAAAGGGAATAGAGCATGCCACCAGCCTACAGGCCAAGTGCAAGGGCAGGCTCGGGCCCCTGCCTCTGTGATCCTCTTCCCTCACCACAATGAGTTTCTCCTTCTTCACACCCTCAGGCCTCCCCTGGGGTTTTCTCAGTTAGTCTAGCAAACTCCTGCCCATCTTTTAAGCCCCAAGTGAAATGCCACCTCCCTACGGCCCAATCAGTAGCTCCCTGGACTATCACCCTAATTAGGCATTTACTGGGTTTTCCTGTAATTATCCTTATGGTCCCCCATGAAGCTGAGAGCTTCCCCAAGGCAGGCTGAGCTTTGTGTTTCTCCTCATCTCTTCTGCTCTCAGCTAGTCCCTGGCACGCAGCTGTTGTCCCGTTCATATTTATTCAGAGGACCCAGGAGTACAAGTCATCCACACACAAGTGATGGAAGAGCTGGGCATAGCTCAGTTAACAGGAATGTGAATCAATTTAAAGAATTCCAGTCCTGTGTGGACCAGTGGCTCATAACCTTTGAGACATTGGTGGGTTTTTGGCCTCTTGCCCCAGAAAAAAGTGCACACCATGGCTAACAAATTTCACAGGCCCCCAGAGGAAAGCCACGTGGGGGAAGCAGGAGTCACCATAGGCACTGGAAAGGCCTGCTGGGCAAGGGGGGATGGAGGAGCCATCTCTAAGGGAAATGGTTCATAGTCCATTAGGCCAAGAAGGTGCCCCAGGAGAGGGCACATTTCCTGGGATGAAACACAGTAACCCTGGTGCTGCCCGTTACAGCAGAGCAGAATGGTTAAGCATGGGGGGCTCTGGAGGTGGCCTGCTCAAATCCTGGCTTTGCCATTTCCAAGCCGTGTAACCTTGGGCAAATATTTAACATCTCTGGACCTCATTTCTTCTAGAAATAATATGAGCACAGTCCTGAGGGAATGGCAAGACTAGCCCTCAGCTTGCAGACCACCCCCCCTCCAGGAAGCTCTCCCTAACTCCCCGCCATGCACCCGTTATCAGTCCCCCCAGCCCGGCACTTTCTGTTCTTTTGTTGTACTCAGCATACTAACAATTACTTCCATTTGGACCCTATGCTCTACAGCAGCAGTTCTCAACCTGTGGGTCACGACCCACAGGAACTGTATGAAAGGGCTGCGGCATTAGGAAGGTTGAGAACCACTGCTCTACAGGGACAGGCATCCTGTCAGCCTTGTCCTCTGCTGTTTCCCTGTGCCTGGCACATAGTAGGTGCTTGGTAAATAGCTGTTGAATAAAATTAGGGATGGAAGATGCTGGGCTGCCACAGAAGTGCCAGGCAGCAGGTGAGGGTGATGAAATCAGGGTGGGCTACTTTAGTCAGTGTCACACTAACCAGACCTCTGGCTTCTCTCTCTCTCCCCACTTCCCCCAGTTCCTGGCATTTGACACCCAGTTGCTGATGGGTAACCGACGCCACTCGCTGAGCCCTGAGGAGTATATTTTTGGAGCCCTCAACATTTACCTAGACATCATCTATATCTTCACCTTCTTCCTGCAGCTTTTTGGCACCAACCGGGAATGAGAAGCCTTCCCCAGTCCCACCTTCCTCCAGAGAATGCCCACTCCCTGGTCCTCTAACCCTCCCCTGTGCTCCTGCAAGACCAGATATAAAACCAGCTGCCAACCCAGCCTATGGCCAGGCTGCTCACTCCCCACAGCCCAGCCCTCTCGCCCTCCCCCATAGCCTGTACATATGCCATCAGGCCCTGCAGAACTGAGGCCACATTGTCCCTGTCCTGCCCCCTTCCTCCCAGTTACATCTCCTAAACCAGGACAGTCGAGGCTGAAGGCTCCTCTGTGTTGGAGAGCCCATGGGACAAGTGGGGAGAGCCCAGCAGGATTTCAGATGTGGAGAAGAGGCCTAGGCAGCTTGACTGAGACCTGTGACCCCTCCCAAGATTCCTCCTAGGGAGCCCACAACCATATCTTTGGAGCACACTGTCCTGTGGCCAGCCTAGCCCCTCCTTTCTTTCTCTCTTCCAGGTCAGGCATTGACATTTTGTAAGAAAAGGGATAGGGTTGGGTGCAGTGGCTCATGCCTATAATCCCAGCACTCTGGGAGGTGGAGGCAGATAGGTCACCTGAACTCAGGAGTTTGAGACTAGCCGGAGCAAAAGCAAGACCCTGTCTCTACTGGAAATAGAAAAACTAGCTGGGCGGGTGTCTATAGTCCCAGCTAGTTGGGATGCTGAGGCAAGAGGATCTCTTGAGCCCAGGAGTTTGAGGTTGCTGTGAGCTACAATGCCATGGCACTCTACCCAGGGTGACAGTAAGACTTTGTCTCAAAAAAAAAGAGAAGGGGATGGGAGCACAGCTGGGAGGGAAGAAGGGGTGCTCTGAAGGAGAGGGGATATGGGTAGACAGAATGGCTCTCCCAGCCTGCCCGTCTTTTCTGAGCTCTGGGACCAGGTGCTTATTCTAGGGACTTAGGTCCTGAGGCCAAGGGCAATGGTAAAGGCCAGGAAGCCAGGGCCATCTTCTGCTTGCCTTGGTTTACCCTTCTGGGTCATGACAGAGCACTGTTGGGGCTAGCGACTCACATCCTCACTCTCTTCCCTCCACCCCTGAGGCTGTTCTCACAGGCCTGAGGCTGAGAGAGGTGTGCTTGGGCCCTCTGGCTGGATGTTTGGGACAGAGGCAGTTGTTTTAGCTGCTGGACCAGCCCCATTTGGAGGGAATCCTGCTCTGCCCTGAGACTGTGCCAGAGCCCCTTCAGCACCTCTTATTTCTTGACCCTTCCTCTCCCCGATCTGTTGCCCTTTGCTGGCTTATCCCCAGCAGGCCTCCTGAGGCCTTACCAGTTGGCAGTGCCCATGTCCCTTCCCCTAGCTTCACTGGCCACTCACTCAGCCCAGAGTCTCCAAGCCCTCCCACTTTATCTCTGCATCTCTCCAATTTGGAAGCTGTCCAGCTGATGCTAACAGCCAAGGCCAGTCCCTCCAGCTGGTCCCATGTGATGAGGACTGGGCTCCTTATCAGCCTCTAGGCGGCTGGAATCTCAAGCAGGGTGTGCGTCAGCCACACGGCCTCTGGCGGAGTGCCTGCTGGGAAAGGGGATGGGGCCCACACCTGGGGAGCCAGTGGAAAGTTACTGTTTGCAGACGGGGAGGCTCTGTGGGCACAGCAGGCCCCTCCCTCCATGGCTCTCTTCTCTTACCCCTCTGCTGGGGCTCCCTTTGCCCTAAGAGGGACTAGGTATGCTGTCTGTTCATTCCCAATCATACTGTCCTATTTCTAGCTTTCAAGAAATATTGTAAAAGCATTTGAAATTTTGTTCCATCTTGAATATTTGAGGAAAAAAGGAACCAAGAACCAGCGAATGATGTGTGTGTGAGGCATAAGCAGTCAGGGCATGGGTGGGATGCCCACTGTGTGCTGGTCTAAATTAACCCATGCAGCAGTCCCATAAAGGCAGCTCTCTGTACACCACTGCTGCAGAGGGAATAGCCAAGGTGCCCGGAAAGGCGTGATAATGAGTCTGAGTCATACAGCCAGCAAGTGGTGGATCTGGGGTTCAGACCCATGCTGCCTCACTTAAGTGGCATCACTTTTGCCTCCCAGTTTGGGTGAGGGCTGGAATGAGACCACACAGGTGCCCAGAGAGGCAGTGAGCAGGCCCTGACATCTCTGGGGATTTCTTGTCCTCAGTGTCACCTGGGCCTTCCATCTATCCCCCACTCCAACCCCCCTCCAGATTTTGTACCCTAAAGTTTCCACCTTCTGGACATGAACTAGGAGGCAGGGTTTCTGGTTTCTGGTTTCTGGCCTCACTGCCAGTGGACTCATGACATTAGGCAAATATTTCTTGCTGTGATTCAGTTTTCCTATCTGCAAGATGGAAGTCCATCACCAGGATGGGGCAGGGACAGGCACTAGAATACTTCTTTCCACAGATTTCCTTACCCAGTTGCCACTTGTCCGTTGAGGCCCCTTGATCAGGTTCCTCTCCTGATCCCTGGCCTCAGTTCTAGAGGGTTTTGTCCTCCTATTCCATTGTCCTGCCACTGTCAGACTGGGCCTTGGTTATGCTTCCCAGACCTACCTGTCTTGAGTCCTTCTCTCCCTGGGATAATTTATGCCAAAACTGGGGATTGAAAAGCTTATCTGAGGCTGAGCACTAAATGCTTTCAGGAAAGGCAAGCCCTCAGCCATAAACAATGTCACTGGCATAAATCACAGCATCTCAGAGACTGCTCCTCCACAGAAGTGGGCAACCCAGCAGAAGATGCTGCAGTCTCCTGCCGTGGGTCCTGAGTGGGGTCCAGGCCCACTGCACTGGCAGCAGGGCCAGCGCTGAAGCCTGTGCATTCCACTTCCAATCCAGGGGTGGGGATGCCCAGGAACACCTGATGGGTGGTGGAAAGAGGAAGGGTGGGGAACAGGAATGCAGGATTACGGAAACCGGAGCTGAGCAGGTGCTGCAAGCTACAGAGGAGGAGAGAGCCTGCTGGCCCCTCACATTTTTGACCCAGGATAGGTTGGATTTTATAAAGATAGAGGCTGCCAGGAATCTGATCATCTGTGATGGGAGGGGGACAGAGATTCTCCTGCTGTGAGCCAGAGAGGGACACACAAGTCTTAGTCTCCCCCCACACACAGCTCTTTCTGCATCACTTGGGGAGTCCTCAAGAATCTTAGTTCTTCCATTCTCTACTCTTCCTCCATTGAGACAATGAGACAGACATCCTTTTTCCAAAAGGCTGTGTGCCACCCTCCCTGGCACCCCCTGGGACAAGTCCCAGGTGTCCTGGGTGGGAGGGATTTTGCACTGGCACTTTGCTGCCCCTCTGTGGCCACTTGAGGAAGATCAGGGCCTGGTTCTGCGGGAGAGAAACCCAGGTTCTATGGAGGGGGTCTGGGAAGGATCTGGCTGCCAGCCTGTCTTCTCATCAGCCACCAGCTGTTCCCTTTTGTCCAATGATTGTCACATCTCTGAGCTGTGCTGAGCATCTGGGGCAGACACAGCACCACGGGCCATTTGTCTGCCTCACCCCAGACACAACTGCTGGCCTCTGGCCTCAGTTGCTCCATGTTCCCCAGTGTCCTGTGCCTGTTCCCTTCCTCTGGCCTCACCTTCGTGGGGTCTGGGACTGACTGGAGACAAAAATAAAAGCAATTTTGCCACCTGAGCCGTCTCCTTTGCCCACTTTGTGTTTTTTGCCTCAGGTGGTTCATGGGTCTGTGTGTGTGTGTGTGTGTGTGTGTTTGTGGTCTAACTCAGATCCGTGTGAAAGCTTCCACACAGAACTCTTTCTCCCAGTATAGTTATCTCCACATTTATTTTTATGTGGAAAAAGTGCTACTGGTCTTCCTCTCAATACACCCTTTAAGGAGGCTCTTAAGATTGATCCCAGTGTTGGAAAGAATCCCAGAAAGATTCCTCCAGACAGAGAGCTCACTCCCTTTCATGTTCTTCTATGGACAGTTCTGATGGAAGATTCTTCCTTATTTTGAGCCAAAATCTGTTTTCCTAGAGAGAAAGCCTGTGCTGTACTTGGACAGATCCCCAAGAGCAGAGCTTTAAAACTAGAGCCCCTTCATGCCTGTAATCCCAAAACTTGGGAGGCCGAGGTGGGTGGATTGCCTGAGCGCACATGTTCGAGTGCACAGCCTGAGCAAAAGCAAGACCCCCATCTCTAAAAAATAGCCAGGCATTGTGGCAGGTGCCTGTAGTCCCATCTACTTGGGAGGCTAAGGTAAGAGAATTACTTAAGCCCAAAAGCTTGAGGTTGCTATGAGCTGTAACGCCATGGTACTCTAGACACCACAGCACTCTACCAAGGGCGACAAAGTGAGACGTTGTCTCAACAAAAACAAACAAACAAACAACTAGAGCCCCTTAAAAGCAGGAGCTGTCTTGTTCACCCAGTGTTCACCAGATTTACAGCATATAGTCTCAATAAGCAACTTCTGAGTGGTGGGAGTGAGATAGGGAACTGGTGGGCACTGCTTGACACAGCCAAATGCCCCTAACCACCCTGGTCAAAGACAGTTGTGCTGACAGAACAAGTTAAGACCGGTCAAAACCAAGATAGCAAGGAACTACAGCTTGTCATGCCCTGGTTATAATATATTAACATGCTAAAAGAAATTCCCACCAACACCAACACATTCCAGGAGAGACTCTAAAAAGTAAAAAAGGCAGAGGATTCTTAGTTTTGGGAAATCATTGTCCTTTTCTAAGAAATAATATAAATATTCCTATCTTATTTAGCTTATGAATAAGCCATTGCTTAAATTAAAAAATACAAAACCCCCCCAAAAACCAAAGATGCTCTTCTCCTCGGCAGGGAGACCTAGCATCTCCTTTATGGAGTAGACCTTCTGTATTTCCTAAATAAAACTTGCCTTTGCTTTACACTGTAGGCTTGCTCTTGAACTCTTTCTCACATGAAGCCCAGGACCCCACTTGGACTCTGAGTGATTCCCAGCACTGGGAAGGAATGAATGAATGAATCCAAGCAACGCCTTCATTCACCCCAAGAGGGGACTAAGGAGCAGAAGGTGCAGGGAATTCTCCAAGTTCATGCACAAATTAGTGACTAGTGCGGGAGGGGAGCCTTGGGAGTGTCATCTTTATCTCTGGGTTTTGGCACAGATGCAGTTGGAGCAGTAAAAGGAGCAGGGG